TTTATTATCCAGACTAGCCAGCATCCTGTGAATGAGGGATCTAACTACTTATTTAAGTTCTGGCTAAACTGGCATTAATGGAGACTTGAAGCTTGAGAAGAACACATCTTTCTATTAATAACCAGTGGAGCAGTTCACACAAACGTATTAGCTTATTGCTGGAGGTAAACCACAATGACAAGATTCATGATTGCTTGGGCCTGCATTTTTCCAATATAGGATTAAAATGGATAAGGGAAGACATGCAGAATAGCAGGAGTAAGAGCAGACCTCATTTAACACGGCAGAGAACTATTTAAGTATCTTTGGAAAAGCACAGTGCTCTGCAATAGCTTTATAAGAAACATGCTGTCATAAAAGGCTCTCATCACCTAAGAGAAGCAAAAAATGCTTGCTTGCAAGGTATTATGGAAAAGACACATACCTTGTTTTCTGTTGAGCATGGTGACAAAAAAAAATCTGCAGTGGTTTGATAAACACATGTCGAAGAAGTGTCATATCAGAGTATTGTGTTCAATTAAGCTTTGTACCCTTTTATAAATAAGAAATCTTTACAGGAAACATCATCTGTCAATCATGTACCAAGAAAGAAAATTGAAGTTTTAAATCCATAAGACTGGAATTGGATGATTTGAAAGGGTAGATCTGTTCGGACTAAATCTGGATAATTTATATAATGCTTGAAACAAACACCAAAATTCAGATATTTACTTTCTCTACAATGTTGTTAGGAAGAATAATAACACTTCAATGATAGAAAAAAAAACTGTTAATCCTGTTTTATTTTTTGTTTGTTTTCTGAAAAATGAAATGGTTGCTGTAATTCCAAAAAGAGGATGTGGTTTATAGACATTTTTCTGTCTTGCTTCTTTTGTTCTTAGATGTTTCCATCTTCCTTCCTTGGGACTAGCTGCCTACATCTTGTGTACCATCTTAGCTGCCAAGATATTTCCCAATCAATGTAGGAATTCATTTTTTAAGAGATTAGGGGATAATAGAATTTCTTTTTGTTTCCTTTATGTCTTACTTACATGCTTACATGCTCAATTGCTGTGATGATGGACAGAGTAACACAATGTATTTGTATCTATTTTTTTCACTCTTTTGATAAACTGACCAATTAAATAATTGGGTTTATTTTCATAACATCATTCAGTTCCTGCTGATTTACCTTCTTTGAATTCACCTGTCTTTGCTAGCTGATTTATAGAAGAGTAGCTGAATGGATTAGGTTTTGAACAAGGCCTTTGATATGCAAGGTAGAGTTTCTTGTTTAATTTCTGGTTGACCTACACAGCTTCTGAGCAACTGTGGGTAATTGACTGAACCTTCCCTGGAGTTTGGATTCCCATTTGTAAGGTTGTTTTATACTTTTCTGTCTTACACAAGCAAAGTGAGTATAATATCAACAAAGTTTTCATGTAAGATCATCAACGGGACACTGTAAGTACCTTCATAAATATCCAAATATTTCCCCAGTGAAGTGTGAGTGAACATTGCAAGTACATTCTGGTGTTTCCATGTTATCTATTTTGAAAGAGTTGAGTTCATAATGCTTGATGGTTTCATCGTGTTTGATTACATTGACCTTTGGTCTTTCAATGTGCCTTTATTACTTTGTAACTGCTGGAACGGAGTGATTTGCTTCCAATGCACATTCTGCAAGAACCTGTAATATGTAGCCACAACATTCTCTCCTGGAATTTATTTTTGAATTCTTTGGCTCAAGTAACTCTTCCTAATGTTTTTCTTTTATTCTTAGCATTTTATTTCATTTTGGTGGGCAAACTGTCAAGGGATTTTATTATACTTTACATCCCCTTGTGCTGTTGGAAATACTAGTTAACTGAGTTAAACAAAACAAACAAACAAACAAACAAACAAAAACAAACAAACAAACAAACAAAAAAAAATGGGATCAGATTCTTCAGGGTCTATTGAAATTAATCATGTTTTTTCCACTTTTCTCACATAATGAATTTCAGAATGAAAATAGCTGTTTGATTGTTACTGGCTTTAGAGCTGTGCAGTAAATTGCATCTTTAAAACATCTTGCTTATAAAAGGAGCATGGGGGCTGTCTCATACCACTGCTGGAAGATGCCTAGACTTCTGTTGCAGTAGAGGCTGAAGTCTTCTGGAGCTCTGCTATGCATCTTGATCTCCTGACAATGCGAATTATATCAAACTCCAATTCCCTGAAAGTGATCTACTTGTGCTTCCCCTTTAATCTCTCTGTAAAATGAATTTCAGTTCCTTGGAGTAAAATACGAGGCATAATTTGAGAATTAAGCTAAGAATGGCCAAACAACATAAGTGAAACACCACTGCAAAAGAATTAAATGAGGATTTTGAGAAAAAATGGGCATGTTAGTGTGTTTGTGCCCAAAAGAATTAACAAAAACTTAAAACTGAAATCAAGGTGCAGAGTAAATGGGAACAAGCCTTATACGTGTGTTAAGGAAGATCATGTTCAAACATTAATGGAAAACTCTTTCTGCCATCAGGCTTTAGCTTACTACTGTACTGATCTGGACATTGCTATATTTTATAAAGAATTCATGCTACTATCTAGGTAGCCGCAAAAGACATTTCCACCTTATTTTTCTGAATAATGCAGTTTAAATTACTTATATTTTGAAAAAGATTATGAGATTTTGTTCACTCTTCTAGAAAAAGAGAGGGTATTTTTTTCAGCAATGTTCTGTCCCAATTAGTCTGACAATGTTTACTTGTAAGGGTTCCAAAAATCAGACAACTTGAGTCAGGAGCTTAACATACCAACTACCTCAAATTAATTCCTGCTTTAATCATCCAGATTTTATTTTAATTTAATTTAATTCGATTTTATTTTATTTTATTATTTTATTGTCTTCTTCTTTGCCTTCTTTACAAAAAAAAAAAAAAGCTATTTATTAATTTATTAATTAATGTGGGGGCAAATGGTGAAATAGGGAAGATTCTTGCCATTCTAAATTCTCTGAAATGAAATTATCATATAGATAAGTAAAAGTGTTTCTTGCATGATCTTTACCATACTATCAGTGCTTACAAGTTCACAATACAGCTCTTGGGTAGTTGAAAACTCAATTTTTCCTGTGATATATGAAATACTTTCTAAGTATTACTATCAATTATACTTGCATAGCATTTTTAAGTTAGTAGTCATCAAAGTCATCACATAATGCAAATATTGCTAGAAGTAGCACGCAGTTCTAAATCTACAAAATCAACAACGTGTTATATGAGAAAACATATGAGAAAACATATGAGAAAAAACAACATGAGAAAAAAGTTGTAACAGTGTGAACAAAAGACAGGATTAGGGTTGCCTGTAACAAAGTACTTACTGAATTTGGTTATTGCTTGGGTATGCAACAATGATATTTTCTTAATTCATTTTGCCTGCATATATATATATATATATATATATATATATATATATATATATATATATCAGAATGAGATGTGATGTTATAAGCAAACACCTTGTTATTGTTCATTACAGTTTATTATCTATGATTCTATGATTCTATTGGAAAAATCTAGGTGAATAATGCTCTGAAGTCCACTTCAGTGCAATGACTTCTGTTTTTAATAAACTGTAAAGAACAATAAAAAGAGCCACAGATGATGTGATATACTGAAAAGCGTATACCAGTCATAGTTTTCTTTTGCCGACAAACTTCACCATTTAATTTAGTCCAAGTAGTTGTAAGTCCATCGATGCTGACAGGCATGAATTGTATTTTAGTAAAGGAAATACTTCCAGCTTCCAGGAATAAAGGTGTTCTTTGAAACAGAGCAGCATTGGTTTGCCATTCTTCATTATGAACAATATTGGTAATGCTTCAGAAAGCAGAGATGTGACTTGTAATCATGATCCTTTCCCTCATTGCAAGTCCCTTTGTAGAACTATGCTTCTGGGTCAGCGGCATGGGGTCTTGGTGCCGCTTCAGAGAGCTGAGATGTATCATAAGGTATCATAGAGTCACTGAATGGTTTGGGTTAGAAGGCACCTTCTAATTCCAATCGCCCTGCCATGGGCAGGGACACCTCCCACCAGCCCAGGCTGCCCAAAGCCCCATCCAGCCTGGCCTTGAACACCTCCAGGGATGGGGCACCCACAGCTTCTCTGGGCAACCTGTGCCAGAGGTGGGATGTGGGCCTGCACAGGGCAGCGCTGCAGCTTTGCTGGGTGCACCAAGCATCTGTGGTACACCACGGCAAGTCCATGTGCAGTTTAGAAACATCTTCAGGTAGTTCTGAAAATATTTTCATCCCATCTAGTGTGAATCATCCTATCTAGTTTGTGTTGAGTGTTTGTTGTGACGGTGTTACAAAGCCAACGTAGCATGGCTGCTTCCAGCCAGCTGGCTGAGCCTTGTGTGAACACACATCTCGGCTGTGCTAATTCGCGGCACACATGCACAGCGACGGGTCCAGCCTGCAGAGAAGGCTCATCACGCCTGGATCACTCACTTTGCTGCTCTCACATTGCTTAGGCTTTTGCTGGCAGCGCCAAATAATCGTTAATTACTTTTCCGCGGGTGTTTAAAACCCATCTGACTGAGCTGCGAGAGAACTTGCTATCGACGTTTATCGATACCAAGCGCAGTAAAAAGCCCAGATACCAACCGAGGCTTTTTACCTTGAAGCCAACAGCCCTGCCAGCAGGACTTGGCTTCCCACCGGTGTCACTGGCACATGGACTGGGGGGGGGAGGGGGGAGAGAACCGAGCTGCGCGTCGGGGGAACCCCTGAGGCAAACCGGGGGCCTGAGCGCACCTCAAGGGCTGCAGGGGTCCCTCAGGCACCGGGACTGCCCGGCTGGGGCTGCGACCCGGGGGGCTGCGTGCGGGCACAGGGCGCTGCGTGAGGCGGGGGAGCCCTTAGCGCCCAGCGCTGTGGCGGCTGGCGGAGGGGGGGGACAGGGGGCGGCGCGGCCGGCCCTGACGTCACGGCGCCCCCGCAGCGCCGCGCGGCCGCCGCCTGGCGCCTCCTCCCCGTCCGGCAGCGCGGGGCTGCGGGCAGCGGCAGCGGCAGCGGCACGCGCGCACCCCTCCGCCCCGCTCGGCCCCGCTCGGCTCCGCTCGGCCCCGCTCGGCCCCGCTCGGCCGCCTGGCGCCATGTCGGTGGCCGGCCTGAAGAAGCAGTTCCACAAAGCCACCCAGGTGCCCGCGCCGCAGGGGGCGTGCGGGGACGTGCGGGGCGCTCGCCGGGGTGTGCGTGTGTGTGTGTGTGTGTGTGTGTGCGTGCACGGGGAGGGGGCGCGAGGGGAGCGGGTTTGCACGGGGGTGCGCGGTGCACGAGTGTGCACAGTGCACGGGTGTGTGAGCGTGCACGGGTGTGTAGGTGCACGGATCTGTGAGTGTGCACGGGTGTGCATGGGCATGCACGGGTGTGCATAGTGCACGAGTGTGTGAGCGTGCACAGGTATGCGTGGGCATGCACGGGTGTGCATGGTGCACGGGTGTGCGTGGTGCACGGGTGTGCGTGGTGCACCGGTGTGTGTGAGTATGCACGGGTGTGCATGGTGCACGGGTGTGTGAGTGTGCACAGGCGTGTGTAGGCATGCACAGGTGTGCACGGTGCACGGGTGTGTGGGTATGCATGGCTGTGCATGGTGCACAGCTGTGTGAGCGTGCACAGGTGTGTGAGTATTCGCAGGCATGTGTAGGCATGCATGGGTGTGCATGGTGCACAGGCGTGCATGGGTGTGCACAGGCATGGATGGTGCATGAGTGGGTGAGCATGCACAGGTGTGTGAGTGTGCAAGGGTTCACACAGTGTCTGAGTGTGCAGGGCTGTTCATGGGCATGCACAGGTGTCCATGGGTCTGTGGCGCTCATGTGTGTGCAGGGGCAGGGGCTGCCTCCCCCTGTGTGGACCTTGGAGCTCCCGTTCCGAGGACTGGGGTTCTGCCGGCATTTGCTCGGTCTGACTTTCTAAATCCGTGGTACAGTGACCTTTTTTTTCAATTTTCTTTACCCCCTCTCCCCCTTCCCCCGAGTACAGCCAAAATCTGAATAATGAGATTTGGCCGCGTTGCTCTAGGCACGGTGTGTTATTGCGGAAGGTCAGGGTGGCCGTTTCACCAGGCTTCGATCCGTTTCATAATACAAAATCCTGCATGTTGTGCTCTGTAAGGGTGCAGTTCCTGAACCAAGGGCTGACTTAACATGCTTCAGGGATAAATGTAAAATGCTTTCACAGAAGTCAGGGGAATTTCCTTGGATTTAGAGATTTGAGACTGAGACCTGTGTTGATGCTCCTTCATTTTATGTGCAACTCTGTGCAAAACTCCTGGTTACAACCCACTAATTGTCCTTGCAGGCGTCTTCAGGTAGCAGTTTAGGTCGCTGTAAGCAATTTGTAGGTGCAAACACGCAAGATGCAGCAGCCGTTAGGCTTCTCAGCACCTGTGCTTTTCCCTTTCTCATTTGTCTTATCTTTTCATCTCATCTCTTGTTGCACTGTGGAGAAATTTGCCCAGAAGGAGGATTTCTAATACAGGTAGTCCCAGTTCTCATTCTTGCAGTCTTTATACCATACCCATTTTGACTAAAAGTGCAGTGGGGTATGTCAAGTCCTGCATAGGCCCACGCAGGAACAGGGTGACATTGTGTCTCACCTTTCTTACCACATTATGCTGCATCACTGGTAAAACAGCCCTCACAGAAACCTGCTGTACTCTGGCAGATGCGGCAAGGAGTAGTTCAGCGTTACTGAGCCCATGCTGCAGTGTCCATCTGCTGCTGCTACTTCGTTTTATCCCCCTCCTGCTACCTACGGCGCTGGCAGGAGCCCGGAGAACCATCAAGCCGTCACCGCTGCACTGTGTTCTGGTGCCAAAACATGCAAATTGCAGTGTCTGTCTCACCTGGGCAAGCTGCAGTTCACTTTTGAATAATGTGTCTTGATTCACCATTACTGTAAGTTAATGAGTGTGCCTCTGCATCAGCAGGGGTAAACATCTTTTTCGTAAACATCTTTTTCGTGGGGAGCGTGGTGTGAAAGGTCTGTGAACGCTGCTCCGTCCTTCAGATGACACTCTCACACTGATTGTCAGCAGTACTTGTCATTTGGGAGGAAGGAAGAGTTTTAGCTGGCTGGAACCAAAATAGTAAATTTCTGATGCCAGATTTAGCAGCCTGATATCAGATGACCCAGGGATTTTTTGGGCCCAGCCTTGACTTTCACAGATAGTATGCAGGGCATGAAGACACATTCATGTGTGAGAATGACTCACAAGTAGATTGCAAGACAGATCTATTTATTGTCTTTCTTTCAGTAGGAGTGAGAAATCCAGGACTTGGTCATGCTGACCTTACTCCTGGGAGTAATCCTTTTGATCAGGGATTAATCCCCAGGTGGAATATGGATTGGCATTGCCACTATGAATAAAGCTTCCCAGACATGATCAAAAAATTTTGAAGTTTTAAAGTTTCTGACTCATTTCCTTGGTTCTTATTCACGTAAGATCCTGTGTATGGTATGCAGTCATACTAGAGTTCTAAATCATACCAGGAATGATTTCAAGTTATTTCTGAGGTTGCGGTGTCCTTTAATCCCGTTAAGCATTTTCAAGTCTTTGGTTTAGTTTCTTTCTATCTTTAATGTTGTAAAATTAGTAGCCTTTATACACACAGGTGCATTATGACCATACAATGTTATTATTACAAAATACAGTTCCAATTGCAAGTATAAAGATTTGTGGCACAATTTATTATAAAAATATTTTTCTTTCATCAGTAACATTCTAGCAGAACTTGCAGTCGTGCAATTTCCATGTATTTTTTTTTCCAAGTATTTTTGTTTTCATTCATCATTTTTTGACTTGTGAAAGATTAAACTCACCTGTATTAAATACTGACACTGTTTTTTTAACAAGAAGTCATGCTGAAGAACTTCAGGTCTGTCAAATTCCTTGCACCAGCTCCAGCAACAGTAAGTCATTAAAAAGCAGGTGGGAACTTTGCTCCTTTTAGAATGAATGTAGAGTTCACCCTTTTGCCTTTCAGAAAAAAAAAAAAAAAAAAATGGTTTTACCTCTGGCAGCATCATAAAGTTCAGAAGTATTCTTGAGTTTGTAAAAACCAGGTTGAGTCTGGAACTCTTGACATTTATTCAGAATTACAAGAAGTTAAATTGACGGGTGGAGAGCAGGCTAGACTATTCATTTATGTCAATTATCCACAGAGTGCTGAAGGAAGAAAAATAAACACATGTAGATGTTAACTGTGCTGCTGCAGATCTGTTGGACATCCTGGAGCCAAGAAGATTGCTCCAAGTCCTTTTTTTTTTTTTTTCCCCAGAAATAGGTAACTAAATGCTTTGCCACTAAATGGTCTCCTTTCATTTAGGCGTGCAGACTCCTCTGCCATTAGCACTATCCCAGCATGAGGGAGAGACTATTGTGGCCTGCAGGTTTCAGTATGGCTTTAAAACCACCAGCATGGATTGGCACGTAGGTTCATCCGCAAGAAGACCACATTAGAGATGAGGCAGTGTTAGGAAACACTGAACATCTGCATTGAATGTGTCCTGGAAGAATGTCTGCTTATTAGGAAAGATCGAGTGTCTGCTTATTATGCAGAATCCAGCAAAAGTGAGTGTGTGTAACCCCATAAACTTGTAAGAGTTTCCATTGAAATCAGTGGGAATATGAGAATGACAAAAATTTATCTTTTCAAGTGCTTTCTATATTGTGGTTCATCTAGCTAATTTATTTGTTTATTTTTAGTTCCTTGGTCAGGAATGTGTGAAATATTTTTCACTGCAGTGGGTAAAGCAATCTTTCTTTAGACACAACGTGTTTTCTACACTTGCTTTGCTCTCAAACTTCAACTAATTTTTAGTGTTTCTTTTGTACTGATAGAGGACATGGAAAGTGACATACTGATAGCAGTATTTTCCTAAATACCCATCCAGCCCCATCTTCTGTAATATACATGTGACTGTCCCACTGTGTTCAGTGGAACCTATGCGTGCTTGCCAACCTCAACCTTTCCAGGGAAAGCACTTCACCTGCCTTTTCCTGACTTTGACTGAAACTGCACTCAAACGGTGTCTGCTGATCTCCCTCCATGTTTGCTCTCAGCACTACCCACCAAATTCTTGTCCGTTCCCATAGATGTAGAGGTATGTGGGCTAGTTTGGGAGGTTGAACAATTCTATATCGTTCCTAGTGGGGCTGTTGCACTTTGGATTGCTTACGTTGGACTTAGGAAGCCTCCACCTCCCATGGCGTGGAAGGTTCTGAGCAGGTGGAGGTAAGACAAAAAGGGCCATTTGCAAGGTGGCTGGCTGAGGACAGTGCCCGAACTAGCTGTTAAAAACCTCTCTTTGAGGGCTGTGTGCCACCATCAGTCTGTTGTTTTCTCTCAGTGCAGAGTGTTATAATTTTAGGTCAGGGAAAGGGAGCAAATTTTTGATCTGGGAGTAAAGACAGTTTTTGAGAAAGTTATTTACTTGAATGTGGAGGGAATATTTTCAGCCTCAGGTAGGGAAATTCCTTCTATTTGTGCACTTTAGTTTGTGTGCCAGATACAGTATTCATAGTTGGCATCATTCCCATATGTCCTTTTATCAATATTACATAATTGAAAGGGTGAAAAAATTGACCTTAATCTGAATAGCCCATTACTTGGATATTGTGTAACCCTTCTGAATTGTTGATGGCTTAAACAATCTGCTCCAATTTCCATCTGTTTCTAAATCTAACAAAAAGAACAACTGCTTAGTATGTAAGAAAGATAATGGCTCCTTTTTTTTTCTTATTTTTGCAGTATTTCTTAGGCATTTATCACTTCACTATGTTTCCACCTGATATATGCAGTTCCCATTCTTTGTATGTATGTATGCAAATAAAAATAAAGCTGAACTATTGATTGACACACATTTGCAATTTTTCTCCCAGTGATCTTTGGAGGCAAAGGACATCTGTGGTTGCTATGTTCAAAGCACAACTAGGATCAGAGTTTTGTTTTTTGTCTTGATTTCATCACCATTTCACAGCAAAAAAATAGGAAGAATGAGGTGCTCCTGGTCATTCCTGTACAACAGTGTCTAAGATTTAAACATGCCCTCATGACTGTCACGCTAATGGCATTTCTAAATGAAGCGGCATACACGGATTTAGCAGAAACGGACTCTGCAGAGGTTACTCTGC